CACACATACACACTCACACATTCACACACACACATACAGGCTCTCACACACACACTCTCACACACATACACACTCTCACACACTCACACACACTCTCACACACACACCCACACACACACATACTCACAATCACACTCACACATACACACTCACACATTCACACACACACATACACACGCTCACACACTCAGACACACTCTCACACACACACACACACTCACACACACTCACACGCTCATGCACACTCACGCACTCACACTCACACACTCATACACACTCACACACACATACATGCTCTCACATACTCTCACACACACACACACATACACACTGTCACACACACTCACACACACACATACACACTCACACACACACACTCACACTCCCTCACACACGCATACACACATACACGCACTCTCTCTCACACATGCACAAACACTCACACACACAGATCCATTCACACACACTCACTCACACACACACACACTCACTAACACACACACACTCACTCACACACACTCACTCACACACACACACTCACTAACACACACACACACACACGCACACACACTCACACACTCACACACACGCACTCACACACTCACACACACACATGTATACACACTCACTCACACACACTCACACACGCAATCACACACACACCTCTGATACATACTTATACAAACACACACGCACGTGCATCACACGTGTGCACACACAAACAAGCACAATCTGACACTGACACAAACGCACCCACACATTCACACACAGACCTATGACCTCTCCTGTGTTATCTTGGCTCCTCCCTCCTTACCTGTTCCACAGGTGGGGCCTCCTATAGCCAGGGCTCTCCATGTTTGCAGACTGAGCTGCCAGGTGAGTGTGTCACGGGGGGACAAGGGGAAACGAGGGATCTGTGAGGGGTGGGTGGTGGGATATATCTCCCCTTGGTCTTTAAGAGGGTCCTGGGGGCAGGTCTGTGCCTTTGGCCATCCAGGGTGAGGGTGTTAAAGCTGCAGAGTTATCCTCAATCTCTACCGATACACTCTGTAGGTGCCCTGGTAAATATTTCCCAGCAAAGCAGGTTTCCTTTAAAACAAAGGAAGATTACAAGCTGAGTATGAAGCCTATTGTGTGAGAAATGTTTTCCTGTTTAACTCCAGCCCTGCCAACCAGTGGGGAAGGCTGTAGAGTTGCTCCGTGGTTGGAGTTTTGTGTGGGAACCCTGTAAACTTCCTTTGTGAGAGTGAAAGAGTGAGAGAGTGTCGGTCTGTTTCCAGTATTCCAACACCAGTCCTGACCCGACATGCCTGTCTCTCGCACACAGCCCTCTTTTTGCCACATTGGGAAATCATATCAGAGAATCTCATTTCATGGCTCTAAGCCCGAAACCAGTCCCCCTCAGAACGAGGGCCCCAAAGGGTTAGCAATGCGGAAGTCTGCACCATTCGAAATTTCCCTTCTCTGCATCACTTGGGAGTTCCATTGGCAGTCCCACTGTTAACCCTTTCAGTCCAACACCTCTCTCAGCCTGTACCTACAGGTAATCCTGTACCTGGGTCTCACCCTGTACCTACAGGTAATCCTGTACTTGGGTCTCACGCTGTACCCGGGTCTCACCCTGTACCCGGGTCTCACGCTGCAACTGAGTCTCACCCTGTACCCGAGTCTCACCCTGTACCTGGGTCTCACCCTGTACCCGAGTCTCACCCTGTACCCGGGTCTCACTCTGTACCCGAGTCTCACCTTGTACCCGGGTCTCACCCTGTACCTGAGTCTCACCCTGTACCCGAGTCTCACCCTGTACCCGAGTCTCATCCTGTACCCGAGTCTCACCCTGTAGCAGGGTCTCACGCTGTACCCAAGTCTCACCCTGTACCCGAGTCTCACACTGTACCCGAGTCTCACCCTGTACCCGGGTCTCACGCTGTACCTGAGTCTCACCCTGTACCCGAGTCTCACCCTGTACCCAGTCTCACGCTGTACCTGGGTCTCACCCTGTACCCGGGTCTCACCGTGTACCCGGTCTCACCCTGTACCCGGGTCTCACCCTTTACCTGAATTGTTATATCCACCTAGATCTTGTGAGTGAACTGCCTTCCTGCCCATTTCAGTGTTGTTGCTGTTCCAGACTCTAGACTGAAGGCAGGAAGAGCTGACGAGAGGCCAGTTCTCAGTCCTAAGCCACTCACCCCCCACCGTGGGATCATACCATGTAGTTGCTCAGCAGTAACATCATTGTGACCTGCTTTAGGTGTGAGGTGAGTGACCCTTCATCGGTATTCGCGTTGTACCTGGTGCAGTTCGGGAAACAGTGATTCCATTAAATCCCACATCCTCCTGCCTTTTCCCCCTCATCTCCCCGTACCCCATTTCTACCCCAATACCCATCCGATGCCCCCTCTCCAATCCCTCAGTTGAACCTGCCCCCCCACCACATTTCCAGGCAGTGTGTCCCAGATTCCCCTCACCTCCCCCTTGCTCCTTTCACACATCACTTTAAATCCATGTCCCTCCCGTTCTTGCTCCTATTAGGGGCAGGAACAGCTTCTCTCCCTATCCCCTCTGTCCAGCCCAGTCCCCCTCATGGTGTTGAAAGCCTCTGTCAGATCTCTCCCTCTCAGCCTCCTCCTCTCCAGGGGCAACAGTCCCAACGTCTTCAATCTATCCCCATCGCTGAGGCTTCTCATCCCTGGGACGTTCCTATCAATCGCTTCTGCTCTCTCTCTTCTCTCTCTTTCTCTCTCTGTCTCTCTCTGTCTCTCTCTGTCTCTCTCTGTCTCTCTCTGTCTCTCTCTGTCTCTCTCTGTCTCTCTCTGTCTCTCTCTGTCTCTCTCTGTCTCTCTCTGTCTCTCTCTGTCTCTCTCTGTCTCTCTCTGTCTCTCTCTGTCTCTCTCTTTCTCATTCTCTCTCTGTCTCTCTGTCTCTCTCTTCTCTCTCTTTCTCATTCTCTCTCTGTCTCTGTCTCTCTCTTCTCTCTCTTTCTCATTCTCTCTCTGTCTCTCTCTCTCTGTCTCTATCTCTGTCTCTCTGTCTCTCTCTCTCTTTCTGTTTCTCCCTGTCTCTCTCTCTCTGTCTGTCTCTCTCTGTCTGCCTCTCTCACTCTCTGTCACTCTCTCTGTCTCTCTCACTATCTCGCTCTATCTCTCTCACTCTTGCTCTCTCTCTCCCTGTCTCTCTCTGTCTCTCCCTGTCTCTCTCTCTCTCTCTCTCCCTCTCTCTCTGTCTCTCCCTCGCTCTCTCTCTGT